ACACAACATACAATTAAATGCATTCATCTTGTTCATCAGACTGGAATTGAATCAGCTTACACAATTTAGCTGTGCTTGATATATGCACATAACATGAAATGGTCTGGAAAAAATCCTGCCAGGATTTTTTTTTTTTTGGTCTTCTCTTCCCCAATTTACCAGGAACTGAAAATCCAGGGCAGTCTTTTATTAAGAATATGGGGGTAAGTGATGTGAATTTAAAGGAAAAGTTATCGTAATTAAGGTGTTTTGCTTCTGCTGAAAATCACCTCAACTTCTCATGCAAGACTTCAGCTTTTGCAAGTAGCTTTGTAGGTCTTCATAGTCAGAAACCTGATATTGTCTGCGGCCTTCATGGACGAGAGAGGCAGTGTGACATGCTCGCAGTCTATCGATTTTCCAGATCTGAGAATGCTAATATTTTTCATATGCAATCACATTGGTGTTTACATTATTTTGGGATTGGAAGCATATTTTGATGCTTTATGAAGTCTGACATTGCTTGAATAAACAAATTCTTAATAATTGATTAAAAAGCATAGCTGTACCACTTAATCTGTCCGTGCAAGAGGCATTTTTCCTCTGGGACGGGACTAACCCAGCATTTAGTTAATCAAGTTTTAAAAGCTGTGAATTTAAGCTCTTTGGGATATATACATTACCAATTGCAGGAAGTTGGGAAATAAAAGGAACTTTTCAAATAAAAAGATGTCAATTTAATAGCAAAGGAGCTGAAAACAGATGTTTCACGCAAAGCATAAGAGTTGTGTCATTCCTTTAGGTTTTCAAAGTCACTTCTTGTCAGATGCATTGGTTAAGAGAGAAAATTAATGAGCTGTGTTAAGTTTTATTACACAATCTTCTGATGTGGGAAAGCTTCCCTGCAGGAACAGCTCTGTGCATGGCTTAACTGATTTAGACATGCCTGGTGCAGTATTCTCCAGAATGTGTTGGAGATCAAAGTAGGGAGAGTTATTCAGGTTTTATGGCAAGGTAATTAAAAAAATATGGGGATTATTACATAAAAATCATACTTGCATAAATTTGCTGGTAAAATAAAATCAAATAAACACGTTTAAAAAATGAGCTCAGGAAAATCAGCCACATTTTTTACCGTTACAGATGCAAATCTGCACCCTGAAGTCTACACAGTTGGCTTCTTTCTTCCACTGCAGAGAGTTTGGCCCAGTTCCATTTTAGTGGTGTTTTCATTTACTTAAAAAAAAAAAGCATACTAAGCATACTGAGCTCTCCTGTTTTGTGACAATATGAAGATGGGCACTTTATACCAGGCACAAAGCGGTCCCAGGTAGAGCAGTCACAAGACTTCCCCGTAGTTTCTGAGGTGATTTCATCTGCAAAATCCCTTTTCATAGAAGAGTCGTGTGTCTGAACATTTGTTAATATCTGTTACAGTGCAGACTGAGTGAAGAGAAGGTTTGGACCAATAACTTCTGGATAAAGGGTAAAAAAGTCCCTAGAAAACTGCAAAGACTTTCTCTTCTCAGGTACTTCTACAGGATTTCTGAGGGGAGTGCATACAACCTCAAGAAAGATTGTGGCTCATAATTTCTGGCCATTTACAGGAGAAATGGATGCATGCACTATATTCCAAATAGGGGCTCAGAAATCCCAATCTAGAAAGAGGGAGAGATGATATGTTGTAAATGTTGAAGTGCTGATTGTGAAACGCAGAAAACATTTCTCTCTGGCTGGGAGAGAAATGAAGTAGATTATTGTGAAACTTCTGTTTAATCAGAGAGCTTCCACATTCCTGTCACATAAATATGTAGAAAGGATAAGCTTATAGCTTCAGCTGTCCTGAATACAGTGATACCATATGATGACAGAACACACATGCATATGCCTCTATAAACATATACACAGTTGAAGTCAAACCATATAATACTGTCAGGACTGAGCTTTCTCTCTCTAAGGGTGTGCATATGATTTCTTTGGTCTAATTTGGTTTAAGACTCTGTGCGTGTGTATATGCAAGAGATATAAAATAGAAGTATAGTAGCTTTTGATGTGAAATAAAATTTTCTTGTACCAGCTACAGGTTTCTGAGAGACTACATGTGAGGGTCACACTGAAAGCTATGCAGTTAAAGTACTGGCAACAGAATAACACACTTGGCTGTCATTTTTCCAGTCTCCTGGAAATTGCATGAAAGAGGAGCTATTGACTGGCAACTCCACACAGATGAAACAGTTTAATTTGGACAAGGAAAACCTATCTGAAGTTTTAGGTAAAAATTCCCCCATGCTTTGCTCTTCTGGGCGATGAAAGAATTTCCTGAAGGAACTAAAGAAACCACCCAACAATGTCAAATTGTCTAAAGGATTGTGAAATGTTGGACATCTTAAGCTTGTCTTAGTGTTTGGCATGGTGGGTGTCTTCCACTTCTAACTTTTTTCAAAGAATCAATACATACTGCATCTAATAACGATAATGAGTATGTATTAAAGAGATGGAAGCTTACGGGCAGACCTGAAAATATTGCAGAACTTAGTTGATCTTCATGCTCCCTGAGTATGCACGGCTGTTAATCACGTGTGCAATCTTGAAGACAAGGACCAGAAAACTCATTGAGATTTTGAAATGACAATAATATAAAGCCAGTTGCGAGATTTAATATAAAAATCTGAGCAGTAAAGAATTCTGTGATGTATCTGGTTCTTGTTTGATGTACTTCTACTGACACAGTTAATATAGTGTTTGCAGTGCACACATAAAGCAGATATGCCCAGATTCCTCTCTAAAAGAGTTAAATTATTTTATAGTCATGCATGCTATCTTTCCTGTTACGTTTCCCCCACAATTTCTATAGGCTGTATTTAGTTTATGTAAGTTGTTCTTAACAGCTTTCAACATAATTTGTTTTAATATAATGGTAGAGATCGATGGTTATAAAGAAGGCTATAAAGATTCTTCTAGGAAATTTCTATGTATGAGGGAAGTCCTTCTTTTTGGGGATTACCAAACTTTGAGAAAAATAATCCTCAAATGAGGTATTCAGACACATACTTTTCTATTCTCAGGTGCTAATGATTTGTATTGCACTACAAGAGAATAAAAATCACCCTCCTATACATCAGTCAAAGTTTTCAAAATATTTCAGCCCCCCCAAGTAGAATTGAAGTAGTATCTAAGTCTTCCTAAAGGCTGGTGCCACCCTTCAGACATAAGGTTTAATTTCAGCCTTACTTATTTTGTATGCTTGAAAATATCAGTGAGTTGAAGATTTTCATGCCTTTTCTACAGACATGCTCCATGCAGGTGTAAATGTTTTCTGCAAGATCTGCAGAAAGAACATACAAACATAGGAACATACAAAGCCTATTGTACAGGCTGTCATGTCCGGCCAAGGTCAGTCTGACTCGAGTGTTTAGGATGCTTAGAGCAATAACCTCATTATTATCTGAGTCATCACAGTGACTTCAAGCCTTAGGAAAAACATTGCTGAGAAGTTAATTTGTGTTTGGGTTGGTTAGTACATATATGCTCTCCACTTGCATCTTCAAGTAGTTTGTTTCATAACTAATGTGTTGATACCCGGTCCCGGTGCCGCTGCAACTGCTGCTGGTTGTTTCCCCCCTTCATGGTTCCCTTGCTGCCTTCCTGATCCACTGTGGGAAAAAGGCAGTATGTTGAGAACATCCTCCATCAAACCCTCTGCTCTGCTGGAGGGAATGAGGAGAGACTGGGGAGAATACGGACTGGCAAACTGTTGAGTGTGTCTCTGTTTCTCCAGGGCTTCTGGGGAGGAAGATGCTGAGTCTCAGCACAGAGTACAAATTCCTTGCCTCTCTGTGCCGCTCTGTGCTTGCTTTTCCAGGCAAAGTAAAACACTCCAGGACTATGCAGCAATCCCTTATGGTCAGCATATCATCTGCTGCTCTCCTTCAGCAGGGAGCTCTGGAGACTACAGGCCAGGAGCCAGTGGTGGTCTTGGCATTAAGCCCCTGAGATACCTGCATGCTGGTGGAGTCTTAGCAGACCTTTCTTCCCCAAATCAACATGAACCCTTGCTGTGGCTGTGTTAAGGTCAATGACTGGACAAGGCTGACTCTAAACAGCTGGCTACTTAACATCATTATTTTTCCCTTTGTAAAATGGCATCATCCTTTGCAAATTCCTTGAAATTCTTATCTAGTTGCTTTAAAAATTGGAACATTTTTACTATACTAGGTTACTGTGGAACTAGAAAAGAATTTATCCTGAATTTTTTCTCATATGTGTTTATGACTAGAAGGCAGCCTACACGGGCTTGTATCTAGACAGACTCATGCGAACAGTGTTTCTCAAAGCAAAAATCATTCTAGAGGCTCACTAGTTCTATCTTCCCTATTTGGAAGAGACTCTGTTATAAGCCTAACTGCAGCAATTAGGCCATTTATGGCCAGAATTTTTTGTTTGCTCACTAACATCAGTGTCAGCAGGAGAACAATCACTGGAGGTGATGCTCTCAAATGTGTAACAGTAGCAGTGATAAAAGACTTTAAAGGGGAAATGGGACCCTATAAAAACTGCTTATTCTGATTCTAAAAGGATCAAATAAAGTCTGAAACTGTCTCTGAACTGTTGGGATGATTTTGTGACAAGATACATGGCTTGGGCAATCTGACTATGGAACAACTGTATCTCATATCTCCTTGAAGGCCAAACTTGCTCTTTGTCTGTTTTTTCTTTGGGATCGCACCATCTTTTGCTTTCAGCTGTCTACATGGATGAGATTTTAATAAGTTCTTATATGAAGCAGTGCAATTTAATGATTTTGCCTAACTAGAGCTATATCAGTTTATTTGAAGCAAGGGCACGCCTTTCTGACAAAGATCTCTCTAATCCATTGAATATGTTGTGTTAATGCTTGTTGATTTTTTGACGAGTGTAATGATTTGGTAATTATCTTTAAATGCTTTCTCTTCTGAGTGTGCAGTGTTTAATGTATGATTTTATTGATTAAATAATGGCATATACTTATGTTACAGCAGTGTATTCCTGTATGAGGATATCTTCCTGTAAATCTTCTTCGTTTATAAATTAGATGCACCATGTATTCAAGCATGGCATCAGTTAAGCTGTCATGCACTGAGAACTTTGCTGGCCCAGTTCTGATACAAGTGTCCAAACAGGTATGTAACACTGTGCATGTAGATGTTCAATACAAATTCACTTAAATCAGCAAAGCTGCTGTAAGAGTAGGAAATATTTTTACAATTTTTTAGCAAATATTGCTAAAGGTGAGTGATTTTGAATGGAATTTTTGTTGTTATCAGGGCTGGTATTGTAGAGATAACTCAAATTTCTGATGTGAACAGAGAGTCTGCTTTCCTTCACGTTGTGGTGTGCTCAAGGGTTAGGATGTCAACCCACCACACTTAAATGAGTAACCTTCATTCGATTATCACATAATCACATAACCATTTACCTTTCATATATACATTTGCAAAACTCTGATGCAATGTGAGTGCAAAGATGAGGTCCAATACAACAAGGAGTGAAACAACACACTGAAAGTCGAAAAGCAGCCACAAGATGTGCTTTCAGAACATGAACCTTCTCAGTCAGAAGGAGGAATTTCAGCTCTTTGCAATTAACCCTACTCTAGTAATCCATCTGCAAGAAGGCACAGACATCTGTTTGTCTTTCCAAGCAACATGTGCTAGTTGCCCTTCCAGAAACTTCCAGATCTGATGTAAGATTATAATATTGGGATCTAGACTCTTTGAAGGTGGCACAAATAATACCAGAGAACAAAATACAACCCAAATATCCCTAAATTCCAGTAGAGAGATTATAGTTAAATCTCCCTTGATATACTTCAAAACCAACTTGTTTTATTTTCTGTGCTTATGTTCACTGCAGGTAAGTGACAACTACTTTATGGGCCAGCTTCTGTTCTCAGTGAATCACAGGAACTCTGCCGGTGTCTTCGATGGGAGCAGAGGCAGTCTTAATGAAGCAGTTATATAAAAGAATAAAAGGGGAAGGGGAAAGTAAACTTCTTTACCAGTGTTTTGAGGTTAAGGTTAGAAGATTACTATAGCTGTTACAGTAAAATGATTCATTCTATAGCTTTTTCTTTAAAGTGTAAGTGCAGCAGTGGCTTATTATGCACATCCTGATCTCTGTCTGTGAACATACTCTTGCTATGTAGTCTGATTTTGGCAGAAAGCAAATCCTGGAGTCTATTTTGCTTTTCATTTGCTGCAGACAACTTTTTTGGACTCCATGTGACAGATCAGCTATTTCTCCCCTGCTGCTCTCAAAAATTTTTATAATAACAGCCTTAAAAATCAGATTTCTTTGGCAAATTTCTCCAGGATAAAGTCACCCATAAAATGGAATAAAAATGCCTTTAGGCTTATGAATTCTCTTTCTCTCAAGCATCAAAATACTGTTATTTTGAGAAGTGTTCTTTGTTTCTCTGAAATCTGAACTTTTTCCACTTGGAGACAGTTAACTCCCTGAGAATCTCGCAGAAATGGTATTAGATGTTGATCTCTTCGTAGGAGAGCAGGGGGAAGCAGACAGCCAGACCACATCGATCCGGGCTGCAGGATGTGTTTAGTGAAAAATCTATAGAGCTCAGCTTAGGGTGTCAGCTGTCAGTCTGCAGAGCATCTGTCAGAGGAGTATTTGCTTCACTGCTGCTGAATGTGAGTAATGCTTTCACAATATGGCAGTACCATGCTATAGATTACAGTTGTAATGGAGCACATCCTGAACAGCTGAGCCTGCTCTCTCTTGCTCATTCAATAGCAAGAGTTGCCTTGCTATAAGAGCTTGGGGGATTATGTACTCCAAACAGCTGTCTATAGCACCATGGATTTATTTGGGCTAAATGAGAACTTGCTTTCTTTAGCCAAATCAAACTTTATCAGACAGTTTTACTGTTGGCAGTTAAAATAAAATGTGTTTGCTGAACAGTAAACACCTTGTTACTGTTAGGAAGGATTATATAAACAAAAGGCATACACAATGAAGTCTTATGCCAACTGACTTACTGTCAAAATAATATACTGCTGTTAGCGGAATTGTGCTCACTTGAAGGAAATTATAGGCCTAAAAACACATCTTGAATGACAAAGAAACCATTTTTCCACAAATAATCTCTAAAAAGTTTAATACACTGTGCCTTGTAGAAGTAGTTTCAGAGACCAAGGATGCTGAATCCTCATACAGGAATGTTAGGAAAAACTGGGTGAACTGTCTGAAACCTTCAAAGGTTTACTGAATTTGCATAATGCACTGGATCAAGTAGATTTAACATTTTCCACTTACTAGATATGTGAGAGTTGTTTTTGTCCAACAAAAACTACAAACTCTCCCTTTCAAAATGCTGTTCTTCTTTCACTTATTAAACTATGTAATCTACGCAACTACAGAACACTCATGAGCAACAGAATAAATCAGCATAAATCAGCTTCCCTTCACTCCTTGAGAAACTGAAAATAAGGTGGATATTCTGTCTTATAGTCAAAAGGAAGAAAAGCAGGTCCAAGCCCAGGAAAGTCACTGAAAGGAGTAATGCTAGCTACAATGAGTTTTGGATTATTCTTCAGAGAGATTGAAAATGAATTTATTTTCTTTGTGTTAAAAACTAAAATCCCAGTTCAGGAAAGCATAAGCCTAATGTTACCTGTGCTTTCTCACTCCGTTCTGAATTTCACCATGCAAGAAGATTTGCATTTCTTCCTACAAATGTGCAAAGCATTTCTTTTAACTTAACAGTTAAAACACCAGAATTCAGTTGAAATTACCAGGAAATGTCTTCTGCTTGCAGAACCCACTATGCTAGTATGAGACTATAATGTTGACTGGAAAGATGAACAGTACCTCAAAGGTCAAGAGCTGTAGGCTGAAATACAGCTAATGATTTCTCAAGGATAATTTGCAGAAAGATTTGTAAGTCTGCAAATTCTTGGGAAAACTCTCTAATTTGCACAAATGTGTTTTGTGGAACCCCAGTTAGGCATTTATTAGTATATTTAGGTGTATTCCTTACTATGTATATGTATCATACTTTGGAAAACTTATTTTTCTAGGAAGAGAACATGCTGGAAGGTTGAAAAGAGGAATTTTAATGGTGCCTTATAAATTCTTCTTCAGCCAAAACTGGCTCCAGGTGAGCTTAAGATGAAGCTTTCTACACATTTCCCAACATAATGTCTTACTTCCTTAATGTTATACCTGACCTTAGAAATGTTCGTTTTCTTTTCTGTGTTCTTACTGAAAAGCTTATAACATATTATTCTGTAAACAAATACACCAGTTTTTTGGCAATTGTGTTTCCCAGTCCTTTAGGGAAACTTGAGGACCTAGTAATTATCCCTCTGTATTGCTTGTCATGACTGTATAGTATGTAGTGCAATAAAATATAGACAGGTTTTTAAATCCACCTTCTTACATCTTAGAAAAAAAGTCATGAATGAAAAGATTTCTTCTATGTCATCTTTCAGTAACAGAAAAACATATCTGGTTAATAAATGTTGCTGCTGTAACAAGGACAAGGTCTAGAACTTCTGTTTTGTTATGTTAATGGGTGTTTGGGTATCTATCTTTCCCTGAGAAATTAAGGGTAAGATAACTTTATGAGCATTTGCTATTGGATTTTTAAAGTATGTGTACAATTTATGCTGGAACACAAGTGCTCTGCCTTGGCTAATTAATTAGATGTCCACACTGTTGACCTTTGGCATAAACCTGAAGGATCAGGAAAGATGATTGCCTATTTTAATGATTTTCTGAATTCAGGTTTTTGTTTGTTTGTTTGTTTGTTTGTTTGTTTGTTTTTTAAATGCAATTTTGTACAGCATATTTTATGGAGAACATGATAACTTAGTGTTTCATCCTTCCTTCAAGCCAGGTGTTAAAGGGCTTACTGTTCCAAGAAAAGGTCTGCCATTTATGAAACTGAATGCAAATTTGATAGCAGACTGTACTTCTTTTTAGCATGTATCGAATTGCTTTCTATGGCATGTGATATGGCACAGGCAGAACTGTGACAAAGGAAGATGCATAATTAAAGTCAATTCTCCCATGCACTAACAAGCTCCAGGGTGAAGCAATTACATTTCCTGAGCAAGTTGCTCTGTAAGCAACAGGTCAAGTGAAGCACATTTGCCTTCAGATTTATTTCCTTCTGTCCATTAAATTTCTTGCGTTGTAAGTATACCTGACAGTGAGGAAGATACATGTCACAATTATTAAGAGCTACTCATACCCCAACTGTCTGGGTAGTTCATGCGTACTCTTTGGCCAGATGCCTGCTGCTACACAGAGGGTTTAATTGCAAAACTTGGCCTGCCCTCCCACCTCAGCTATTGCACTGACCTAGCTACTGATTATCACTGTATTTCTCGGAACTTAGTTATTTCTCTGGCCTGCAATCCTTTGTCAAATGTGGTTGACATTTGGGAAAGGTTTCCAAAGTTAGAAGGAGATAAACTGTGTGATTGCACAGGCTCATTTCCTTAGGGAAGAATAATACACAAATACATGTATATGTATTTACAGTGATTTATCTGGTAACATATGTATCAAAGCTGTAGGTAATTTGAGATTTTGCGATACATATAAATGCTATGTTCTGAGAGCAGCAAAGTGAATTGAACCTGAAAAGCTGAAACACAAAGGAGCTTGAAAAATTCCTACCTTGGATCTGCTGCCAGAAACATAAAGTACGTTACCTCTAAAAATAAGAGCCCTGTCTTTCAGATGATGTGAGTTTCACCTTTAAACAGGGATCAAACTCCTTTCTTTGTAAAAAATAAATGCACACCTATACTCTGGCTACTATCTTTCATTACTCTCCATGGGAATTAGGCACACAGCCTAAAAACCTCTAGCAAAACTCACCATTGCCTCCAGGGAGCTGCATTTCTGGACTTTCCTAGCCTGCATTCACCTTATGTTTAATTTTAAATTCTCTACTGCCACACCAATGTCTGAGTTGTCCTTCCTCTGGATCGCCGTTAAAGCAATGTCCAGCAGTTTTATTTTTAACTGACTAAGGGAGTCAGCAGTTTGCAGCTGTTCTGGGTTTCTACCTCTGGCAAGCAGAGAAATGCACATCTTTAGTGCTGTTTGCTGGACTGAGTGTTTGATTGAACTGTATCTGGTTCATATATCTGCTGTTATAGTGTTATCCCTCAGTTACAGTGTGGGACTTCTCTTGCAAAGTGGCCTTTGCTGTGTTTCAAAGTCATGGTGCACTAACTACTTCGTCAGATGATCTTAGCCCTTTTATTGCTCCACCTGCAAAAAACACCACCTTGAGTTTTTTGAAAGCAGCATTTGACCTTTCTTTCTTAGATCATAAAGTCCATGATCACCTGCTCATAACCCGGCTCCCTGAAACAAGCGTTTCAGTGAGGTCAATAGTCATGGACAGCAAAACATTCTGTTAGGTTTGGTTCAGTTGACTCAAGGTGTTTGCTTGCAAGAAAAGACTGTAGGAAGAAGGTACTGGCTTGCACACAGAGGAAGGTCTCCCAAGGAAAGGACACAACTGTTAACCAGCAGACAGAATGTTTCCATTAAATGGGTATTTCAGGAAGGCACACAATATCACGGCCATTTTCTTTCTGACATGCAGCCAAATTAGTCACATCAAAGACACTTTATATGCTTTGAATTGCTAAAAGCTCCATAGGTCTTTAAATAATTGCCAGACAGAATATGTGTTTGCATATTTTTGGTAACACACATTAGTTCTGACCTTTCTCCAACTGAAATCAATGGGGATGTGGCCAATTGCATCAAAAGAAACAACACTGATGCAGATGACTGATTATTGAAAAATATGTCTTTGACTGTGTGAGAAATAGGACAAAAGAAACACAGTAATACAATCCCCATTAGATTTAAAGAAGTGTTTGCATTCAGATTGTTTTTAATTCTGCTCCAATGATCTTGTTCCAGAGCAGATTTAAAACTATGCAAATACCTGCCTTTCTCCATTTCCCACTTTTCAAGATGGCAAAAGTTCCAGGCAAATCAGATTGATCCGAGAGATTACTGGCACTGTGGAAACCGAGAGCATAATCAGTATGATTAGAACTTTTTTCATGATTACTGAAATGTCAGACTTTTCCCTTGATTTGGCCTCAGATGTAAACTTTGATCCTGAGCCTAAAATATATTCTATTCTAATGTAGTTATCTCTAACCTGAACCACAACCAGCATACTGGAATGTAAGCTCGGGATCTGCAGTGAGCCCTCTAAGCCACATTATCAGAACGGAAAGGCTTTAAGATTGACTTAAGGCACTAAGAAAGCTGGGCTGCTCCTTGTCTCCCTGTATGTAACATCAAGGGAAACAATCCAGCTGAAAGGGACTGTGAGCACAGGCCTTGGACAGTGAGCATCCATGTGCAACTGAGAACAAGAACTGAATTAATATCCAGAGTGATTCCTTCATGTATGGGGACACTCCATACATGAAGAATGGCTACATGCAGGGGATGCAATCACTTTTCTTTTCTCCTTCTCTGATTTCCTACAGAAGCCCTAATCACAAAACATGCAATTTTTGTCTGAAATGATTTTGAGGGTAATGCTGTGGATTTATGCAGATTACTTTATGCCACTCTTGGCAGTGTCAACAGGATTTGTGCATGTTTCTATTGGCAGTGTTCATAAAACCTAGACTATCTGCAGTTACAAAAATGAACAAATAGATCTGGAGGTGTTTGATTTACTTTCTGAGTCTTGACATTCTACTAATATGCTGATTCTCACTACCTGAAACCTTGAAACTGTTGCAGACAACACTCAACCCAACTCGTAATAAAAGAGCCTGCACTGCACTGAAACCCTTTAAAATAAACAGAAAATAACCTTTTTTTTTCCCCTCCCAAAGCACTCACATTTGTTCCTTCAAAATTAGGATTCAGCAAATAGTTGGAATACATCTGTACTCAGAGGAATCCACATCAGATCATAAATTTGTTCATGTTAAACACAAACATATGAATGCACTCTTATATGCAGGGACTATGGAAGGGTTTAGAATTTGCACACTTTACTCCGTGTAATGCCAGGGCAATGTTTCACTCATCTACATAAATAGAAAGCAGACTTGTTGCATTAAAGGCATAAGTATCCTTATGCTCTGCATAAACATCACAGGATTCAATTTTGAGAAGGAATCGCATAATTTGTCATATCTTTTATTGTGATTGACTTCGGTGATGGGCATACACAAACATACGATTTTCCACTCAGTGTATCACTGTATATCTTGGTGTGCATTTGCTGCTAGAATAACAGGAAAAAAGATTAACCCCAGATATGCAAATAAGCTTAATTGAATAAAACAAGACAAATTACCCCTTCGTTGAAGCAGTTTCTGGTTTGGCGAAGCTGCACACACTACAGGAGTACTGGGAGAGGGCTCATGTGGCTGCCTCTCATTCCTTCCCTCTTTTTCTGAGGCTTGTGCAGAGCTATACTGGGGTGACAGGCACCCCCGCATGGTCAAGCATTGTACAGTGGTGTAAGGGGCCCCAAATATACTATGTTACCCCCACTTCGGTATGATTTAGAGAAATGTGAATTTACTTGAGCCTTACAGTCTCTCTCAAGAGCCCCAAGCTGGCAACTCAAAAGAAAAAAAAACCAAACAAACATCCCCTGAGCCTTCCCCCCTTAAGTTTATAACCCTTGTCATTGCAAAGAAGAGAGTAAATGTGAAAACAGTTGACATTCAAGGCCCCTGAATTGCGCCTCTGCTAAGATCATTAACCATGTGTTTGTACATTTTCAGTGTTGGCAATTGTAAGGAAACCTCAGGCTTTTGGCTCATGTGGGCTGGCACTGCTGGCGGTGTGGGAGATGCCCTTGGAAGACCTCTTTCATGCCAGCTGAGGCTGCTGGAGGAAGTCAAGAAATCATTTGTAGAGCCTGTCCTCAGGCTCTCTACATTGAGGCTATTTATGTTATACCATAAAAAAACCAATAGGAAATGGTCCAATACGGTCATATCGTTAAAGAAACGTGTCTTAAAAACAGCCTCCTACTGATGAGGGAATGAAATCTAGAGGAAAAAGATTCTCCTTTAAGAAATATCTCTCATGGAATGTCATATATAACTTTCCCACCCCTGAAGCTTCATTCTTCCTCCCTTCCCTGGAAAAACTGGGGAAAAATAGTGAAGTCTAAAAAAATCTATTTTTATATGTATGCCAGATGCAAGTTTTGTTAAGCCATCTACTTCTTGTGAGTTGTCCCCCTTGAGACTATTCTTTATTATCTTTTACAAACACATAAAGAGGTTTTCCTGCTTCAAAAAATGTACAGCTTAGGGCCTAATAATGAAAAACCTTACTTATAAGAGGATTCCCTTTGAAGTCAAAGGAATTTCTTGTTTGGAAAGCATTTGCAAGATCAACCACTAGGAAGAGAAAGCAGTGAACAGTAGATGATTGTAACACTGGGGAAAAGTAACAAAAATAAAAGATGAGGGAGAAATGTATGCTCCTGTAAAATTGTGAAGAATAATAAGAATACCTAGGACCA